TTTCGGCTGCAATATGTTGTTGGGGGCCTGTTAGTCATAACACGACACATTGTTTGCTGCAGCACGCGACAGATAAATAATGACAAGCCCCTCATTATCGACCAGTTACAGTTTCGGTTTGAGCTAAGAGACGAAGCCACTGGGTGCAGCTATTGCCACCTAGCGCCGGTCTATAGCAATTATCGGTTATAACAAAACTTTTTGTGGCGCTTGAGTATTGTTATAAGCGGTTTCGACGTTATTATTTCTTCTCTACTAATGCTAGTGCTAACTCTACTGATGTGTTCTTACGCACCCGAGCTGATAAAGTTGTCTTCGGCATTGCGATATGCCCACTAAACGGACTAATTTTCTTCCAAGGACTTTCAACTATACGTCTTCTTCATATTCGCACGAATATAACCAAACAGGAACTGCGACACACTTAAAAAATACCACTTTTTCACAAGTCAATCCTTTGCTCTACAGGGTATATATATGCGCATTTATTGCGCAGTGTTCCAATAAAAAAAAAAATTGATGTATCGAATAGTAACTGAAAACCGGCTCAAGACGAGGATAAAATGAGCGCCAGAGCACCACTTCGTAACTCTGCTGTCTACACACCGCATGTCCTGTGTACACCGCATGTCCTATGTACACCGCATGAAACCCATGTTTTGGAGGGCACTACATTGTTCTTTTCCGCGAGGTGCTATTCTATATAGGGGAAAATGTGATGTGGTCTAACAAGATGTAGTGAATACGCAATGAACTCAAGCACACCAAAAAGAAAAGGATCAACTAAGTCATACTTAATAAAAAAAAATGGCATGGTTTGCGTTGGCTACCATCGGCCCGGCTTTCAGCAAATTTTGTCGAAAAACAAAATAAACAAAACGATAAACCGAGAGAACATGCGCTCTCAATATAGTCAGATGACAGTTAATACAAGCAATATTTTTGCAATAGCAGTTATATGAACAGCTTCGGCTGGCTTTAGCCGCCGCCGTCATGCACCGTATACGTATCTTTATATGTGAAAACACAAAAAAGAAAAAAGAAAAGCAGCCCGAGCTCGGCACTCACCTTGCCGCGATGCGCCGACGCGCGCTCATTAACCCGTACTTTGCCCCGCGGATGGAGGCGGGGGTTTGATGGTCGTGCGCGCGCGCTTATCCATTGGTGGGGAGAATCGCGCACCTTCGGCTTTCACACCGGAAAGATTGCATTTAGTTGCCGGACGCACAAAGATCACTACACTCGCTGGGCAGGCCCCGTTTGCGAAAGAGCGCGCTTTTCAAACACAGCGAAGTAACAACTGGGACACTCGTTAGTTCACACTCCCGTACCTGTGATTACGTTTCGTGCGTCGTTTTTGCTTAAACAGCGCTTCGAGCTGTAAACGTTGTTAGTTAGCTCTCGTCCTGTGTGTGGTGTTGTTCGCGTGCGTCATTTGTGCGTGAGCAGCGCATGCACGTTTCGATTTGCTAGCCGTTCTCGGCGTTACATTCCAAGTTGTTGCTATCGCATTCATTGCTTCACCCTTGCGGCAAAACCAACTTTTTATTTTAAATATCGAAGAATGACGTGTCGCAACTCGCAAACGGCGAGCAGTTTATGCAAGTGAAGCTTTCATTGAAGTTGCCTGTGCCGCCACCTATACTACGCAACGTCAGCTGTGTCAGAAGAGCGGCCGAGTAAGCCTATTCTAGTACACTGTAGCGCGGTGCAGTGGTAGGAGGTATTTACAGGTTGCCTTCACCCTCCCATATAAAACTAGATAGAGCATTCCTAGCAAAGCAGAACTTGAAGTGGTTTTGGTGGTTTGCACGTCACGTAGCATGGAAAAAGGTACCATGGAGGGATGTTCCAGTCTGTAGTTTCTCAAGCACCACTGTCTCTTGCGAGCTTGGGCTGCGGTGTTGAGCAAGTCTTTTCGCCACTGAATAAGTGGCAAATGAATTAACAGCGCAAAAATGGCATGAAGAAAATACGACGGATTCCCCATAATATAGTGGCTAAGGATGTCTATATATTTTCTTGGGATGCTTTCAGGTGGGTCTATCGACAACGTTGTTGATCTGGTGACATATGTGCAACACCAGAAAGCCTGCAAGAGACTGTGCGCCGCCCTGTTTCTAGACGTTAAGGGGGCTTACGGCAATGTCACCCATGAAGCTATCCTTAGTGCTTTGGAAACAGTAGGTCTTGGTGGCAAGATATATATGTAGGTGTACAGCTACTTACAGCTGAGATCATTTTACGTGATGACAGCGAATGGCCCAACACCTGATTATTACAGCAGCCGAGGAGTTCCTCAGGGAGGAGTGCTAAGTCCTACACTTTTCAACCTAACTCTCATTGGTCTAGTCGAGCAGCTACCTAGCACTGTAGAACTTTCTGTCTATGCTGATGACATCTGCATTTGGACATCAGGTGTGGCAAGGCCTCAGCTTCGCCCCCGCCTTCAGAAGGCTGCTACGACGTCATGCTACCTTCGTAAACAAGGCCTCGAGGTGTCCTGCGGAAAATGTGCAGTGGTAGTGTTCACGCGGAAACCAATGTCTGCTTACAGCATATCGATTAATGAAGAATACATATCGTTCGGCAGAAGCCACAGGTTCTTGGGAGTCATAATAGATAGAAACCTGTCGTGGACTCCACACGTGAACTATGTGAAGAAGCGGCTGATCGCAACATGCCACATGTTCAAATTCCTTGCAGGAAAGAATTGGGGAGTGCGTATACCATCCATGCTACAACTGTACAGAGTGCTGTTTATCGGATTCTTATGGTACAGCTTACCTGCAATATCTAACACCGGCAAGACCAACCTGCACACAATTCAGAGCATTCAAGACCAAGCACTTAAGATATGCCTTGGATTACCCCGCAGTGCTTCAACGGCTGAAACCATTGCCATCGCTCAAGATCACTCGATAAAGACGCATATTATTACCGAGACAATGCGCATGCACCTCAGGCATTATGCCAGGACCCCTTCCCACCACCTGGCTAGCCTAGCTGCTGAAAGGCCCCGCACGACATACGGCACTATTGTCTACAAGCATCGTTCATCGTTTACTGAGACATACGCACCTGCATCAAAGCCACTGCTTCCTCCTTGGAGCTTGAGCCGGCCGCGAGTTCACTTAATGATTCCAGGAATGAGGAGAAAATCGGACTTGAATGAGGAGAAATCGGCCCTGAAACAAACGAGTCTATTCCTACTGGAACAAAACTACAGTAACCACGTGCACGTTTACACGGATGGCTCTACTACGCCGTCTATTTCAGGTGGAGCAGTGGTTATACCATCACAAGGGGTAACTCGGTGCTTTAAGACTTCACATGTGACAACGTCAACGACGGCAGAACTCGAGGCTCTGCGCAATGCACTGGAATCTCATAAATTCAGAAGAAAGACCAGGTAAATGGCCTGTGTTTTCTGACTCAAAACCAGCGTTACAGTGCCTGATATCAGTTCTCCGACGCGGATGCCATGACCAGTTGACCTACCAAACTGTGAAACTTCACCACCTTTTAATACAAAAAGGCAATGACATCGTCTTTCAGTGGTTACCTGGGCATTGTGGTATAGGTGGCAATGATTCTGCAGATCATGCTGCTCGCACGTCACATAAAGAAGCGAACTGCGTTCCGATTCCGCTTTCAAGAGAGGATGCGGCGAGGCAGATTCGTCAACTGGCCCACAGTCTCACACTGACTGAGTGGAACACACCAAGCATACGACATACAAGACTGCACGAGCTCGACCCTTCACTACAACTCCGGCCTCCACCCGGCCTACACCGACGTGCAGCTTCGCTTCTTTATCGCCTTTGGCTGGGAGTTGCTTTCACGAAAGCTTATACCACGTTAATCGGAATTACTGACAGTGCTGCGTGCGATGTGTGCGGCACCGAGGAAAATATCGAAAACCTGCTGTGCCATTGTCCTCGATTTGCCTCAGATAGACAAGTACTTGCCAACGCAATGCGGCGACTGGATGATCGGCCTCTTTCTGAGCAGGTGCTATTATAGCAACATCCACATGCCTCGACAGCCCACAAGGCAGTGAAAGCTCTGCTGTGTTTGCTGAGAAAGACAGGCTTGTGTGAACGCCTCTGACATGCGGTAGAGTTCTACACGCTGCAGTGAAATTACTGTCAGTCTCTCCCTACCTTTTTTTTTATTTCCCTTTCTTCCCTCTTTCTTGTCCCCTTCTCCAATTCCCCAGTGTACGGTAGCCAACCGGATGTCTTTCTGGTTAACCTCACTGCCTTCTCCCTTTTGTTGCATCCTCCTCCCCTTCAGGTGGGTCAACCAGGGATGAAGTAAAAAAGAATTTGAGAGTTGGCGCTATGTACGTATAGACCTATTTGTGTGTGGGTGCACTGCCGTTTGATCACGGAGACTGTGGAGACAGGAACGTAAATGAATGCTGTTGCAATTGGTTTTGCAACGTGTACCGCTGGTAAACACCGAACCGCAGCTTCCTAGTTGGAGAGGTAGCATAAGGAGCTTTAAAAACAAAACAATCCAATTGTTTTTCTCGCAATGTATGATGCTACCTCTCCAATTTTGTTGTGCTATGTTAACTCAGTGAGCTCAATGGGAAGGGGCTAAATACACGTTGTTCAGTCCTGGAATAAACCTACTTCACCACTTACTGCAAGGCAGTGTTGTTGTGCTGAGGCGAGTTGGAAAAACCTGAAAAAACAATTTGGAGAAGCCAAGGCACCACTGGCCACACATTCAACTGAAAACTATATCAGCGCAGAAAAACACACATGCTCTTCTGCAGTGCTGGAACGCAACATTCATTACAACCACCTGTGAAGCCTTGAAATGTGTGCGTGGTGTGCAATCTGTCTCCCCTTTCCCCTCCTTTACTTCCCTTTTCCTCTTTCCCCTCAGGCATGGTAGTAAAGTAAATGTAGTCTAGTTATTCTCCCTACATTTCTCTATTGCTTGTCGCTCTCTCTCAATATAAAGAAAAGTTCCAGGTGTGTCAATGGCGCAGTTGAAAAATCAGTTTATTTACACAGTGCAGAGGCAGCTCCAAGGCACAGAGGTGCCACAGAGGCGACCAAATGATACAGAAATGAACGCTCACAAGGGTACAAAAAGTTGGCGCGTATATATACATCTTAAATGAACGAACAACACTCTTCGATGGCATGGCAAACACTCTCACGACACCACTACGCATGGGAACCTTGGGCAACTGCAGAATTTCAAGCGATGCCACTACACATCCTGTTCTGCAGTCAACAAATAACAGTGTAGTCCTTTCAAGCCATAAGTAAATCCTCTTGCACAACTTCAAGATACACAATCGACGTGCACGACAAGCTCTTCGTGTGGGTGAGCACATCATTCGTGACCGAAATGGTGATGAACTCGCCAAGTGTGATGAGCAGCACAAATTTGTGAAAAATTGCAGGAAAATTGCTTTTAATACAAAGCAACTGCAAGAAAAAAAAAAGCTATCATGCAATTGGGAAAGAAAATTTGTGATGTGCTGCATCTATAGTGACACAACAGTTCAGCAACATATACTTCTGAAAGACTGCTGGGAAATTACTTTTCAATACTAAGCAGCTGTAAGAAAAAGAAAAGGAACTCTAAGACTGGGAATGAAAAATTGCGATGTGTTGCATCTATAGTAGCGCAATAGTTGACCAATCGTAATAAAATGTTTCAAGTTCGAGAAGAATCATTCTTACAGCCCCCTCATTGTGCTCTATGCCCATTCTGTATGTTGTGACCAATAACATGCCAATGGCATAGCCACAAATGTTGATGCGAGCTAACACTTACAGACTTATTGCCTCTTGCTTAACGCATCAGCAATGAAAACAAGGCTCCCTTTTTTTTAATTCAATGAAGTCCAGGCAGCTTATTTTTAGAACAATTACAAGCAACAACTTGCTTCGTAGTAGGCATGCCTGTATAGCCACAGCACCTAACAGTAATACTAAGTTGTTATATGCCCTGAACCATGGTCCCTACATACAATCAATTCAGGACTTGGCACATGACTTACACATCAACAATCTTTAAGCAAGTTTTAATATAACAAGACTTAATCATACAAAATGTAAACTATGCTCTTCACTATACACTGAAACAATGTATGTCGCTTTCTATAAAGTATGCACACGTTAGATGGTATGCAAACTGAATGTCATGCTCAACAGAACTATTAGGAAACTTTCTTGATGTCATCGAGGGTCAATGTGCCAGTGAAAGTTGTCGCCAGTACTTGCTGTGCATTTCATCTTGTTCATAAAGCAAAGCTGCTTTAATTGATCAACATCATTACGCTTCTAAAGTTTCGTTCATATTGCACAGCTCCAACATTCAAGAATAGCAGCATACCCGCAGCCATTGGAATATTGCAGCATTAAAAGACAACGAGGAAAACAAAAATGTATTATTGGAGCAAGAAGAACTGCTGGCACATATACGTATACGAATGTAACCTAATGAACTTAGCTCTACAATGATTAGTTATTTAAAATTATGACACTACAGTTGAACAAAAAGCGGTAAAATGTGGCTACAGAAATATCTTCTGCAGCTGTCCACAAACTAAAAAGTGAAGCCCAAGAAGAGAAGCTTGCACATGATTGACCCAAGGTTTATGTTACACACCCATGGTATTCACTACTATCAACATGACTAATGTGTCAGCACAGCACAGATCACATAACCTTGACTCACACAAACACATGCACACAACTCTCAGGCATAAGTGAGGCACTCATTAACAAAACGCTTCTAAAATGTTTCCAGCTATGCATTATGTACAAAAACAAACATGATTAACCAAATAAGAGAGCTATTGCAGAGACAGGCTTGGACTTTCTGGGTGTAAACTGAAGCGATGTTGAGCCGACAATGTCTCAAGCGTCACCCTGAATAATGGAAGCACTCAAAGTATACCATATACTTAAAGCTCTTGCACAGTTATGATGTTAATACTGGGTCATAAGAAGGGCACAAAATAGTGTTTAGCAGGAGTGACAATATCGCTGACATTGGGAGCACATCACGATTCATCATGATGTCAAACAAAGCTTCTAATCCTCTTCTTTTCCAGTTCAAGTAATAATTGCAGTCATATTCAAGCAGTGTAGAACCGTATCGTAACTTTAGAATAGTATGTGGCAAATCATAATCAGTTGTGAATGCCCACAGAACAACTTTCAGGTCGGGGAAACCCACTAGCAAGCACTGAACCCTTTTTTAACTCGCTATGCAACACATATGGTCAATAAAACACCAGATTCATAATGTGGGAGAAAAGATGTTTGTGTGTAATAGATGCAGATTGCACATATAATTTTGCAAAGTATTGAACTTGTCGCGGTTATGTGTAACAATTGTGGAGATTCCAGATATAAAGTAGGAAACATTTTTGGCAAGGGTCGTAACATTCATTGTTGTGATGGGCTAAATTACTGTCGCACTAAGATGTTCACAGTTGTAGACCTTCGTTACACATGTTTTCAAGATGGGATCATGTAAATGAAAAAGTTCTGAGGCATCGGTTGCCAATAGTTATTTATAGCCCATCAGACAAGAAGTTATGTTTTAAAGTTACTATGTTCAATGCACACTGGATGCAAGTTGTCATTTAAGGATATATAGATGCACTGCTCAGATTTGTACATGCACAAAAGCACAGTGTTCATGTTTGGCCAAACCCTGTGGAAGACATTGAAAAGTGTTCTTGGCAAGTTCAGAGAGAAACACGGTGTTCGTTGCACGCTTAAGGCACTTCGCCAGTTTAAAATAACAGGCATCAGGATTTGAGCACTGTAGTCCGTATGCTCAGAAGGCTGCTTGATCAAGCTCTAGTCACTTCAGTGTCTCTCAAGAGACATCAAAGAGTTGCAGTCCAGAGACACACATGCAAGAAAATTGATAAAAACTCCTTACAAATTCGAACAAAAAAAAAAAAGGGAGATTACGTTCAAAGCTCCCAAGTTGAAAAGAAGACTTGAAAGGAAGTCCTGGTAAAGAAACTGACAGGTGTCCTAGGTACACAAAACTCTGGCCAAAATATCAGTCCATCTTGGTCCCACGGTAACTAGCATCCAAGGTAGACAGATTAAAGCGTCATGTACACAGCTGTAAAGAATAGCTTGTACATCAACTCCAGTCAACGCAAGCTGAATAGCAATGCGCCTTGGTCCCATTGCTCAACATATAGATGGTGGAGCAAATGGCAATGTGACGTGCACGGTTTGGAAGCCAGTGTGCTGCCCTCAACTGGATTCACAACTTGTGGTTCTCCATCAAGCCTAGTCGATGTCGCAGTCGGGTCCCAAGGTGGCCAGGGAGTAGAATCTCTCCTTGTCACCACTTCCGACACTGGTGACATGCTGGAAGCAGCAGGGCAGAGAGATCTCACTTTTGCCGGGAAGAGGCTTGGGCTTGGACGCCCTGTTCTTCTTCTTGAGACTCTTGCTGCTTTTGGGAACAGACAAGCTGATATTCAGGGGATCCGAGATCAGTTCTTCGACCTTCTCCCAGAATTCCTGTGCGGAAACAGAATGAAAGAAAAAAAAAAAGCCAGTTGTCAAGACAGCTTTTCTAAGGAAGCCAAGCACACACTTTCCATGAAGCGTTGAACACTGAATGATAATCCCAATGTTTATGAAGCTATGATACCAAAGGAGTTTGCTTATGTTAGTATATCCGATGTTTGGAAAACGCTCAAGGGCACGGGTACTAGTGCAGGACACGGGTACTAGTGTAAGAGACGGGTACTAGTGTTCTTTCAACGAGTATATTGGCTCTCTTTTCAAACCTTTTTCTTTTTGAGTAGAAGCTCATGTCATAATGCACTGGTACCTGCCCCTCCTATCGCTGTGGTTCTATATATCCCTTCCTGCATTTTTATCAACAATAAAACATCAGTTTTGAAGCAAGCATGATGAAATTAACATGATAACATGCAAAAAACAGTCCTATATACAAGATGGTGGGAAAAATCATAGACAGGGTGCTGTTCTCGTTTTAATGATGTACCAATCATGACGACAACAACGAAAATTCGCTTTGAGGGTGTATACAAGTGCTATCTCACAATAAAGAATTATTGATTATACAGTTGAACCTACTTATAATGATACCAGTATTAAAAATATATCTGTTGTGACAATAAAAAGCTGCCACATCATCAACTTTCTAAGTCTTCTATGGTGAAATAACCGGCCCCCATGCCTCCTAATCGGTTATAACAATGAATGCTGCCTATTGGGTGTCCATATTGAAAGGTAATGGAAAACAAAATCTCAGAAAAAAAAAAGGAGGAAAACATGAACTTCAAGATGCTGAACCTCTGCCCACAACCCCATTGTACTCAAGTGCCCCTTCAGATTCACAATGTGCTTCACTGTACAGCACTGTTGCATCGCGGCAAAGCTGACTTTTGAAATGTGCTATAGCACGGGAGCTGCGGTGGCTTCTGTTATAGCACTTTCAAACATGCAATTTGAGTGACAAGACGATAGTTATAGCGCGAGAACAGAACGACCACAAAGAGACAAGCAGGACACGAGCGCACGTGTAATTCTTGTCTCTTTGTTGTCATTCTGTTCTCGCGCTATAACTATCGTCATGTCGTACCAACTAGCTCAAGCTGCCACACTTTTGAGCGACAAGTTAGGCGACCTTTCTCTTATATCGTCTATAGATCATTTCTTGGCTTGTGTGAATATTGGAATGCTTCGAATATTCAAACGAATAATGCAGTATTCCAATTCACTTCGAATCGAATTTGAAATTTCGAATTCTAAACAAACGAATGAATGCATACTAGTCTGCATTGTCATCCTGTAAAAAAAGTTTAACAGCAGTACAGTGGCGCAAAGCCATGAAAACACATTTTCAGGAAAAACCCGCTCTGCTGCAAAGCCCTACTTCAAGGTTCAATGAGGATATTGCCCTCACATCGATTTAAGTTTAAAAGCTTGGTATACCTACTTATATGCTCTAAGTACGTATAGAAAATTTAAAATGTAACATATTTTGCAGCCTAGCGCTTGAATTCTAGCAAAAGTCTAATCATGTTACCATTCAAAGTTGTTGCCAGCTTTCCTTGATGCAAAAAAAAAAAAGTATTTGCACACGCCTTGTCTCAATTTTAAAAAGTATTGTGCAGGTTTGTTAGGTCACGACAAATATGCTCATTTTTTTTATAATATGCAGTATACATGGTATTCGAATTCGATTCGAAATTATTCGACCAGATTGGCTATTCGCTTCAAACCACAGATTCACTGTTTGCACAAACCTAGTCATTTCTGTAAAGAATTTGACCTCAGGATTCGAAAAAACGTATTAATACCATTCCGCAGAATGAATAACATCCGGAAGCCAATTCTGAAATATGGAGCCTTTGTTTCATGGTTGTCTTTCAAAATATAATGATTCTATAAGGTGCCTCACACAAACATACAAAAAAATTCTTTAGACCGGACATGTCTGGGCAGCTCGGCAACATATCTATATATAAAAATATGCAACGAAGACCATGGGCGGCGCCAGCTGGAGGTATGGAGGGAGGGAGGGGGAGCCGGAGTCTCGAGAAGATTTCTGCCTACCCCTCTCCCTTTGCCCCCAAGAGCAAGCATAGTCAAAACACAACTTAAGTGCTCCCAGCCTCCCTGAAGGGACTCAGTTGTGGTGCAGGTAACCCCCCCCCCCCAAGTTAAAAAAAAAAATCCTAGAGCCACCCCTGACGATGACAGTCATGTGCATGCCAGGCCACATGTATGCGGCCTGTGGACATGAGGAAACCTGGCATAGAGATTTACACAATCGGTATTAACTAGGTCGGCCGAATACCGTAGAAGAGAAGGCATACCTGCGCCGCATCTGGCACGTCGAAGCTGAGTCCCGCCATGCGGCGGTGGTCCGACGAGAGGTGCATCGTGTGAAAAGTGACGGCCGACTTCTGGTAGCTGCTGAGGTTGTCAATGACGTCCTTCCAGAGGGCGAACCCGGTGCCCCGCTCGGCCAGCACGACGTGCACCATGCGCCGCGTCCTGGCCCGCGTCTCGCCCTTGTCCAGAATGAGCACGGGCACGCCGGTGCGCGCCAGCTCCCAGCGGCCGGGCTTGCCGTCTTGGGACACGTCCGTAAAGTACAGGTTGGCCAGGCAGTGGCAGCCGTACACGTACGTCTTGTGGCTCTTGAAGCAGCACTCGACCTGCGTCGTACACCAGGATGCATACACATGGACTTTGAATGGACCATTTTTCATCATTCACAAGTGCGCTTTTCTGCACTGCATGTTTGCCCGAGTAATAGCGGCACCTGTGATGGCGGCACCACAAGCGGAAACGCGGTCCTAGTTGAACTTGATGGGGCTGTCTATTGTGAGTGTTTATATCAAGACAGGCGGCTGCACATTTTCTACGTTAGCGCATAAGCAAACCTCGCTTGAACAGGCTATTCGAAGTAAATGACTAGCTGCCATTGGTTGTTCAAACTGCAAAGTAGGAAAGCTAACTTTACAACTTCTAAAAGGGTTTATCGAGTTTTAATGTGGCCATCTTTTCGCGGAAGAAAATAACGCCCATCTTGTGTTTTCCTATACAACAGGGATCATGGCGGAGCGATTCTATCGGCGTTCTACGAGTTCTTTTAACGCCATTCACCACCTTTAGCCACCTGCTGTGGGCCAGAAGGCGCGACTTGGAAATCTGACCAATAGCAGGTGGCTGATAGCGGCGAAAACGATAAGAAAATTCATGGAGCCGTGATAGAATAACTCCACCATGTCAACACACTCACTTTGGGTGAGCAGGCTGTTGCGAAATTCCCTTTGTTTTGTGTGCGTTGATTTTATTTTCCGAAGCTCACGAGCTATGTATATACATATTTGACATGCAGTTCATACCTTGCCTTTACGAGTTCTATGTATGATGGCATGACTGAACAGCCACATCTCCAAACACTTGACAGTCATGGTCTGGGAAAATACAGCCAACACTAGAGGCCTGACATACGGAAAGGCGAGGGTAAATGGAGGTACGCACATTACCGCCTGGTCTTGCTTGTTTCTTGTGCGTGTATGTCTTAACAAAACACCAGGGTTTTACACGCAAAACACGACATGATTATGGGGGACGACGTAATGGAGGGTTCTGGAGATATCGACCACTTGGTGTCCTTTAGCGTGCCCTGGCATCTTACACTGCACGGGCCTCTAGAATGTTGCCTTCATCAAAATGCGACCGCCACGGCGGGCACAGTGAGCCCTGCACCACCAGGGTGGACTTGCCTCTGGTTTTGCTTCACAGGTGGAAATGTGCAACTGGTAATGAAATTTGATTCCCTAGTGTTAACTGGTCCCAGCCTGAAACAAAATGGTCCCGTCAAGTACACAAGTGGTTTGAGTTGTACAACTGGGACAACAGTTGGTCCCCAACTGGGATCACTTGGAAACCATACGAGATTAGTTAGAACAAGTTGCCGGTCTCAGCCGCAGACTACAGTGACCAGTGGGTTTCCATCGGGTTCCAGTTCTCAACCAGCTGGTACCAATCGTGGAACAGCCGGGACGACAAGGACGACAAGTCTTATAGAAGATCACGCCAGATCTACCGGAAGCATTATACGCGTCAGTGAGGGCTATCGAACCAGGATTCCGGCATACCTGGTCGACTTCGATGTCGGTGAGCCTGCCCGATTCCTCGGGGTCCTTGTTGAGCGCACCCACGGTGTCGTACTTGGTGGTGATCTTCTCGATGCCCATCTTGAGAGAGTTCTTGACAATGTCCGAAGAACAGTAGATGACAGCCTCACTGCCGGCCATCCTCGCCTCGCTCACACTCGCACAGCCGATGCACCGTCGCCCACACTAGGGTCCGGGAACGGTGTCCGTCTCAGTGTACGGTCTGTAAAGGCAGCATCGAAACCTGCATGGGGAACCGATAAACAGCGGTCAGGAACACGCAGGCAATCATTCATGTGGTAACATAGGGCCAATATAAGTCACATTAATTAATAACAAACGTATCTTCAGTGATTTGCACGGTAACTGTTTTCTGACTTAAGTGAAATTTGTTTGCCTTCGTATCTTCGCAGCCGAAACATTTAAGTTGGCATACGTACAGAGAGAGAGAGAGAGAGAGGCAGGGAGGTCCACCAGCAATTGTAGCATGCGGTTTGCTACTTTGTACTACCAGGTGGGGGAGAAAGATGAGAAGGAAAGCGAAGAGAAATGTAGACGTGCGACAGGTACTTTTGAATGTACAGAGGTCATTGATTTATTACGTGGATCGAAAACAGGACGAACACAAGGGAGTCATTTCCGACCGAAACATGACGACCGCGATGTGCACGAAACGAAAGCTATAAGAGCGGCCTTTTCTAAAGGGCGTTGTAAAACTCTCTTGGAGCTACTAATAGAAGTAGAATTGCAAGGAACCCACAGCGCGTCAGTGAGTCGTACGTGTCAGTCTAATGTGAAGCAAGCGCATTCACTGTGTACTACATTCGGGTTTTAGCGTAAGCGCCTTGTACTACATGTCCCTCAATATTGTGTTAGACTGATTGAAGCTTAATTGCGACAACACAAGAAGATACCCAAAACACGCCAAGGATTAAGAGACAGAGAAGACACGGCGAGGGCCCAGTTAGCCCGCAGAAAGGGAGGCCCTCCCAAGTCGACCCAGACACGACAGGAAAGGGGAGGTGCAAGGGTCAAAGCGAATCGAGACAACGAAGGGGGGCCGCTTTTCTCAGAAAAAAAAAAAACAAAAAACCGGCGGCCGCTTGTCTCGGGGAAATAACTTGCGCGCAAGCCCGCCCGGGGGCGTGACTCTGGAACGGCGGCGGGGTCGTGTGCAGCGAGCATCAAACGCAACGAAACAAGCGAAACTGACGCCTCGCCGTAATAAGACAAAACAGAAAGAGCGACCCCCCGGAATGCGTACAGCAATCCCCTCCGCCCAGCTTGTGGTATATTTTCATCATGTGGAGTCGGCAGCGAATGGTTCAAAGGTTGCGCTGCCTTCTTCTGTACGTTGGCCCAGTTGGAGAACAAATGGCACTGCCCGATGTCTATCCACGAATGCTGCGTGTTGTTGGGCATGCATATGAATAACAAATAAAAAAAAGGCTCGCGGGTCACGTTATCCTCCTTACGAATGTTACACGAAATTTCAGTACCATAAGCCGAGACATCACTTTCAAGCGAATGCAGTAACAACTTGATTGTGCGATACACCATCCCAAAAATTCAAAGTCGGTTATGTATGTATGTATGTATGTATGTATGTATGTATGCATGTATGCATGTATGTATGCATGTATGCATGTATGTATGCATGTATGCATGTATGCATGTATGTATGCATGTATGCATGTATGTATGCATGTATGTATGTATGTATGTATGTATGTATGTATGTATGTATGTATGTATGTATGTGAGTGCATAACAACACCTGGTGGTTTGGGAAATAACCGAAGGAAAGCGCTCCAGCATCTCTCACGTGCAGCGCCTAACCAGAATAGGGGAATCGCGCACGTGACCCCAATATTTCGGCAACCGAACCAGAATGACATGCTAAAAATGTTCCGCGGCGGTCCACTCTCACAAAATATTGGTTCAGAACTTTTGCTCTCGAATAAGGACCCATAATTTATTTTTTATATCCAATTAAAAACATATGTGATGCAGAAGAACAGACATTTCGTTGCAGTACCTTTTTTTTTGTTACAAACCTTGTCGCTCAGATTTAGTAGCTTTGTTCGAGAACCGCTTTTTTTTTTCTTTCGTGTTCCCGGTTACTAAAAAACGGCTCCTTTATTTTTTTCCTCCCAAAGACCACACGCTGAGAGCTTCCAGTCGAGAAAAATTGATGGCTGCGACCTTATGACCCTGAACTCTTGCGGCAATTCACGAGTCGCATTGCCAATAACATACTGCTCCGCCTCCCCCCTCCTCCTCCCATGTTCTGTTGTTTAGCGGAGCTGAACGAAGCACTTCTCGAAACACGACTTCGCAACCTTAGTATAAAACAAGCGCTCAACTTCGCAAGACCCACAAACACATACATCTCTGTATGACCATATGAGGCTTTCGAATTACGAAACCAGAAGCCACAAAGTCCTCACTACTAAAATATCTGCGTGTTTCGGTCCAAATGTCCCCGAAAGATGACAGTCTTCTGTCGGCTTTTTTTCATGCATAGCGTCACATTTAAGGCGCAGCCTAAAAAATACTAGGTTGTTTAGAATTACCTATGTATTGTCTGGTAAAGAAACACACCACTTAATACTTACGTATTGAATTTGCAACCCAGATATGCGTATCATTTGCTTTTTGACCAACCATGTTCACAAGTACGTATGGACGCAGTCATCAAATCAAGATTGCGGGGCGTCCAGCAAGGGCTTAAATTTTGTCCGGGTGGCTAAATCATGTGACAGACAGACAGACCGAAATTTCTGCGGTCAAGCATCCCAGAGAAAGACAATCGTCATTAAAGAAGAATGTTTCGCGATACTTAATTTGTGCAACGACTGGATGCTGTACACACGGATTACGTACGTTAGCATGAAAATTGCCACAAGGCTGGACTCGCAAGCTGCCTCAACGTTGACATAACCATGCACGAAAGTTCGCGGACGGTGATATACCACTTGGCGCTGGCTGGATAGTACTGATGTGAGCAAAGTTAGGATACAAAGCAACAAACACAAACCTTGTTGACACGTGCGCATCTGTACCTGTCTGTGCGACCGCGCTTCCTTTAGATTATGTGCCTACGTCGGTATCAACAATAAGCTGATACCCTTCTTAGTTCTCAGATGTACACGACAACTTTTGCGCCTGCGTAACTGGCTAATTATGCTGTTAACCAGTTACACATAGCTGGCTCATATATAACCAAATTTATGAAAAATAACTGCGGATAAATAAAAAAATTGACCTTAAACGTGCTAAAACTATTATCGCGCATCAACAGGAGATAGTTTTCCACCCGATGTTTTTCAAAAAATTGAGGGGGGGGGGAAGGTGAGGGGTCTGGCACTAAACGCGCCATCGAACTGCACGCGATCGACTACCGAGACATCATCCGCCCAGGCGGTGTATTCAATTCAATTTTATTTCATCTCAAGGATGAACGCAGGCTCGGGAGCGGTTATGGCGCCTAGCTGCTGACCCAAAGGTCGTGGGATCGAATCCCAACCACGGCGGCCGCATTTTCGATGAAGGTGAAAAGGCTACAGGCCCCTCTGTGCTCAGATTTTGGTCACGTTGTTGCGACCGGGGTTTGCGGCACCATAGATCCGGGATCAAGATGTCGAGGCAGGAGGAGGTCGAACTTCGCGGAGAGGGTTTATTCACATTATTTACATGACAAGGGTTGTGTGGCCCAAAGCTCTGCACTGAAAAAGGCTTTCTATTGAACAAGCTCCGTGAACCACACTAAGCAGCCCGCGAGGGCTGATTAAATACAGTCTCATCTCCCCAGATCCCTAGATCGGGTAATAAGGTCCATACGGCACTGTCCAATAACATGTCCCGCAGCACACACGAGTGTCATTATGCCGGCACCGCCCCAAACAAACACACATACACAAACCAAACACGTGCATGGTCCCGGCAATGCTGCTCCCTCCAGCGAATCTTGCTTCTAGCGAGCGGGGTGAAACGTGTTTGTCATCTCGCCGCTCGCGCCGACCATTCAAGCTTTGTCGACCGGCGATAGCGGTCTAGGCGCCTCCGAGGGGCCATACCTGGACATATGGTGCTGATTTGAGCCTCGGCGGCTCATCAGTCAGAGACGCACAGCGTCCGACGTCCGTAATCGAAGGAAGCTCGGCATTGTGGCTTTTACCGGGACACCAAGACGCCACGTGTCGCATCTCTGCGCGGACCCCAAGGACAGCGGCAAAGTAATTTCAGCGACGCAGCGCCCAGTACACGGAAACAGCAGGGCGTCTTGGCGCTGCTCCTTATCTCCACAAAATGAGGCGGCTGCCTTTCTTCTGCTCTGACGGCCGCGGTAAAGGGTGGCCCGCCAAACACAACAACGTCGAAGCACCCCGGGTGGTCGAAATTTGGGCCCCTGGCCATCGTGGTTTACGAGGTAATGAGGTCACTGACGCAGCCACCCGAGCGCTTACCCACCGGGCTCCTCATCCCAGCTCTAATGACTCGGAAGCCAATACACCACTGCTGCTGTTCAAAGAAATTATTTCTTACACCGCGCAACACGGAAGGCATGCTCGCTTTGGGAGTTCACAACACGCTGGCAGAAATCGCAGAAGACCAGCGAACGGCGCAGTATCACCGCCTGTCCCAAACACAGAGCCGGAATAAATTGCCAGAAAGAATTTTTAGTGGAAATTTTATGACAGCCCTACACGATCATTTTAGAAACTTTTAATTACTGACGTTCGGGTTTTTAGCAATGTTTCTTGGAGTTGTGCGTGATTTTCTAGTTTTATTTGGATTGGAAACCCTGCTATGTTTGTGCGAAAAGTCGGTTTCACCGTGGCTTGTTTATTTTGTAGTTCCAAGTGAATTCTGCGTTTTGTTGCTTCATTGTTTTTTTGCATTGCATTGTATGCGCGTGAACATTCTTTTTTCTGCCCGTCCTGCTTGGACCATTAAATTGGTCTGCAGTATTGTATAAATAAATAAATAAACGAGGACGGCAAGAACGATACTACAACGCATCGAAATCAACGCCCCAGGGACGACCCCAGATGTAGCAAAGCAACCATCCTGGGACGTTCTCCAAACACTGAGAATACCAGCGTTACCGAAGCACATGCATTTGAAAGTACCCCAAGAAAGAAGAACGGCGAAAGGCACGGCCCTCAGCGATCGACGCTGGTACTACGTGGAAGTGGCGAAGTATCCCCACCTGCCAAACACGTACGCAGCAGCGGTTAT